GAACACTAGCCAAAGAGATAGTATTTAGCCAGGCTGCATGATGGCTCTGCATGCGACATGAGCCAAAAGGCGATGGGGAATTGACGCGTGCCATTTGCACAGTGGAGGGAGAACTTCATGGCCCTCAGCTATAAGCAAACCAGAAACCCTGCAGAAGACAATATAACCCTCAGGGAGAGCAGAAATAGCACCATCTTCTTTCAAAGAAAGTAAACAGTAAACCTGTGAGCCAAATCTCATGGATTAATGAGTGCTTGTTCTAGAAGATTCCCTGAAAAAGCACACATACACTTCAAGTGTTCCAAATACACACCCCTATGTAAGGGTGCTATAAATACTTTGGCTTTCATTGCTGTCATTATTAAACTTGGAAAAGTGCAGCCACACCTATAGGCGAATTGGAAATCCCCTCTGAAAATATATTAAAGCATTTTGATAACAATAGGGTTATGATTACTCTTCCATCCGTGTCAATAACTGTTTTCATAAGGTTGGATACAAGTAACAACATACTGTGAAATGACATTGTGCTATTTTTTTTAAACTGAGCATTTCCAATTTGCATCATAAATCAACCTTTTAAAGTTATAAAACAAACTTTAGAATTGAACTTCTGAAAATTTGATAAATTCATTATCAAAATTTACTTGATCTATCAAATTTTCTGAAAATTCAATAGATCAAGTAAATTTTGATAGTGAATTTCAGTGATGCCTTCAGCACCATTCCTCTTCAGTAACAGAATCTGACAGAGCTAGAGGACAAAATAATCTAGATACACACATTTTATATGTGAAGTATCATATATTGATTTTTATCCACCACTAATTCCAAGGCACCCTGAGAAGAGGTGTAGTATTCTCCACAGAAGGGCAAGAAATTAAAACAGTATCAATGTTGCGTAAGAGTTCTTTTAGGGTAGTTGAAGTTCTAGAATACTTTTAGAGACCAGAGAAAGCAACTGCATTCACCAAATAGAAAAATAAACAGCCAGGGATGCTGAAATAAGAGCAACTTTACCATCAATACATTGCTTAGTAAGAAGTTCCTAAGTAGTTACAAAGGCGACCCAAATGCAGGGATAACACGAGCAAAAACAGCTTCCTGACAGGAGAGTTCAGCACCACCTGCACATGCTATGAAATTTTGTTTGGGAGGGCAGAAAGCGAAGTTGTTGTAATCACACCCAGAAAGCCATTAAACACGTTATCCTAGCATTAATCCACTACTATCCCAGCACTACAGATCAAAAAGAGTAATGACAAAACATCAACTGAACAAGTGTATTTATCAAAGCACATTACTAAAAGGTATATTGCTTTCAGGATCATCTGGCCACAACTATAAAGCAGAAGGTCAGATTGCAAATAATATAAAGGCATTTTCCTTCGGCATTCTTACATTTTTTTATTTTTATTTTTTTTTTTTTACTTCTTGAAGATTACCCAGCCCTTTAACTATTTTCTCTGAAGCCCTTCAAGCACTATGACAGGATGTGAGATCCACATACATTTTAGTTTTCTTTATCAAGTTATCTGCAGTACAAGTCCTCTAATAAAAGTACACATTCTGTCTGATGTGAGCTTACCTCAACATAGGAAATAAAAGGATATTAGTAAAGACTGCCCACTGTATGTAAAAAAAAAGTCATATATGCCATTTAAAGCTAGCTGAGCTTCTGTTAGACTAGATGGGTGCCCATAAAGTTGTGTTTTGCTACAAGGAAAAGAAATGTGGAGGGAAAAAAAGACACCCGCATGGAGGGAGCTAGTGGAAAGATATCACATCACATGAGAAACACCAGGTCTTACACACTGAAACAGTGAACAACTGACACCACATGATGTCTGTAGACACTATCTTCCCCCTGCCAGCTTGACACATTGATTACAAGTATGTCCCATGCCTAAATGCTCTATCAACCTTTTCTCAGTTTTAAAAAAAAGAGACATGACAATTTTTAAGACAACTTCTGAAGTGGATTGCTTCATGAAATTAACCCTTTTCCCGAAGACTCAGATATTCACTTAATGCTAGAGCAAAGGAGATGAAGCCTTCAGTAGGAATTTAAAATCAAGGATAAAGTCATCCGTCAATGTTCTGCTCCTTTCCTGTTCCCCTAATCCAGCACCAGTCTAACAGCAATACCAAAAGTGAATGCACATCAAAGCCAGGGGACTTCTGTTGTTTTCTTTTTTATCTGTGTGGGTGCAAAACAAAAGTAAGCTTGCCTTTGTCAGATTTGAATCTAGACTTCTAAATCTCAGAAATATAACCCATGGCTTTAAGCATTATTTTACTTAAAGTAGTATGGGTCAGTGAAAAGAATCCAGATGGCTCCACATAATGTCACATCAGATGATGCTATTCCACAGTTTTATATCAACTAAAATATCTTTGTGAAAAGCATAAAGTAGGCAATGGCTAATTCAAATAAATAAATCTATCAAACTTATTTCAAAAAACAAGGAATTGCCTTCTGGAATTGGAACTTTTTCAGAAGCTGAAGTTATAGGTATTGCATATAGAAGTCACGATTATACGATTAAAGTCCCAAAATAATCACGTTTACATAGAAACACTCTAATTGAAAAATTAACGTATTTACTTGGAGATCCTCTGAAAACACATGCCTAATGTGGAAAAGATCTTGAAAACTGTGGAATAAAAACCAGAGTATCTGCCACAATGTCAGATCTTTCCACAAGTTGAGCTCTTGCTGTAAAAGCAAGTAGTATGCAGTCTTTACAGTGATATCTTAGCACCTCCAACAGTATATCTGGATGTATAAGGTGTTCCTCTTAGCTGTCAAAAAGAGTTCAAGACCCTTCAATATTTGCTTTTCATGAAGATATTACAAATATAGAATCCAGCCTATTAACAGCTGGATAACCTTCCAAACTTATCTTAGGAGACAGAAATGACACCAAAAAGATGGTTAGGTCATTAGATTCATTGCTTTAGGGATGATGTTGCAAAATTGGAAAGACCTTAAATCAATGCAAGCAGCTCAATAAAGTTTGACCAGCAATCAAGACTGAAATAACTATGAAAAGACTGTAGTTGCAGAAAACAAGACAGCACCAATCAAGGTATTAAAAGTGAAAGTTTCTTTTTTCCTCAATACCCAGGAGTAAAACATATTTAAAACTAAAGGCAAAAAGACACTGTGATAGCAATTTCTCAGTTCTCTAGAGTAAACTTAATTAGGTACGCATAACTTATTTCTGCCCATAACACCCACCATTCCCCCAACCCAGCACTGTGTATTGTTTTTATTTGTGATTTCTACAATACTTTGTTCTCCACACCTAACGAAGGTACCCTCTCCAGTAATCCAATCTTGCTGTTTCTCATCCTCTCAATCTTTCTCTAAACCGTACATCTCCAAGCACATCACCTCAGTGTCAGCAGAAATTGCACTTCACTAATTCCCATCTTTATTACAGCTCTGTCTCAGTCCTGAATTAGTTTATCTTTCCTCATTTAGGTAGATGGGACTTGTTACAGTACAGGACATGTGTCCTGCATGACGCAGGACTATGGGAGCAGCTCTTCATTCAAAGATGGTATTTCAGTACAAACTTGCATTTCATTTCTAGGTAGAGTGACCCATAAAATATAATTTAACTAAAAAGAAATCTTACTCATTAGAATACATATCATATGAAGTAAGTGCCCACACACAGAACTGCATAAAGTGAAGGGACGAATTAAAACCCATTTCATTACTTTAGTTCACTAAAATATTGACAAACGCTCACTTTAGAACCCTACTGCATACATTTACAATGTTACAAACACAGACCTTGCCACCAAAAACATTATAAAAAGCCTGTAACTTTCTCAAAATTTAATTAATTTTTGCTATCAATTTTCATAACCATCTGAAAAGTTGCATTCAATAAGAGATAAAGCAAAGTACGTTATTTTTTTTACACTTATTTCAGAAGCTAAGAATTTTAACCAATTATCATAATGTACTTAGAGCTTAGGTGCAGTAACTCTATATTTAAGAAAAATATACTAATTCAGTAATAGGAGCATACAAAGTCAGGTTTCTGAAAATAATGAACATACATTAATTCAAAACCATCAATATGAACGCAATACTTCTAATCTTTTTCACATTGCAAGGCCAATTTAGAAAATGTAGCAGGATTATACTTTTTGTGGCTGGTTATTCCACAGTTAACACCAAATCCATATTTTGCTTTTGCAATGCCAGTAGTTAGCATAAGAAAAAGCTAGGTCACAAATTACTCTAACAGCAGGGTTTTACAATAGACAAACATGGGAGTCATTTATAATGCATTTTCTGCTATTAAAAAACAAATAAACATTTACAGTCTGTGCTAATTAACTTTACTGCTGAATTAGTAGTATTCCTGACTGTTCTTAAATAGAAGAAATATTGCAAGGATGGCAGTAAAGTCAAACACTGCAGTGCAGAAAGTATGAATGCCTTTTAAAACCTCTCTTGTCCAAAAGCTCTGTATCCTCTGGAGGACTTCTTAAGACCCACTTATCTGTGCTCAGCATCAAAGTCCTCCACAATGTATGAACGTGTGACAGAAGTTTATAAGAAGGACATTATGTCAGAAAAAAGTGACCACAGTTTGAGCACAGCAGCTTAGTAGCCCTGCCTCACCAACACACAGCATTCGTTCTCCAGAGTTAGCAAGTTTTGTCCTGGTGCAAGGCTAAGTGAATGTTGCTAAATAAAGGGCACGTTCTAACAGCTCATTTCTCCATGAAAATTGAAACTCAGCTTGGACAGGACTACAGTCTTCATGAGTTTTTATAAAACTCATGAAGTATTTATATGCTGTTACCAATAAACATCTCTCTAGTGGTTTTGTTTGTTTTATATTGTGTTTTTTTTTAAACACCTTATCTTGCTGCTATACTGCTCCATGGCAAGTGGGGAGTACAGAATGTATCCAATTAGTTTTCATGGAAAAAAATAAATAAATAACTAACAAATGTTTTAGTTCTACCTTAACTGAAGTCAATGGTACTTTAGGATCAAGCCTGTGTGAAAGCTGAAAAGCATGTGACAGCAGAATCTCTAAGAACCATCAGACAGATCCTTCCCCTCGTCTTGCTAGAATCTGGGCTGTGCTCAGCATATAGAAAAAGTACCTGTCAAAAGGAAGAGAAAAACATATTGGTTACTGAATTTAGTCTAATAATATTTTCTAGATTGTAGTCTCTACCTCTTGACAGAAGTGCCAGTTCATTTAAAACAATTATTTACCTCTTAACTGTATCATAATTGGAATTGTTATTAAATGCCTCATTAAATGACTTCCCCACTAAATAGACATAAGTCTGGCCAAAGAGTTAATTTAAAATACAAAAGAAAACAGTTTACAATATAGCCATGTAGTCATGACTGGTAACTTTATCTGGCAGGAATCCATCACCAAGATCTCTGCACCCTGTTTTATATTTGTTTTTATTTTTATTTTTTAAAGACATCCAGTCAATGTCCTCTCACACCTCCATATTTTTGTTGTGATACAAGTCAGAATTAGATGCTAACGCAGACAAACAGCACTGCTAAATGGCATACCATAAAAGAACTCCAGGACAGCAGTCCGTGCATTTTCTTTACTCAAAAATTAATACAACAGTTCCTCTCCTTTAAAAGTTCTCAAATTTATTTTTTCAACTACATTTTTTTCCAAAATGTGTGCCACAAAATTTTTTTTCTCTAAAAAAAAGAAAAACATTTTTCTGGGTGGATAATTATGGAAGTACCATTTCACGAGTACTGAAGACAGCAAGAGACCTTTTGTCACAGCTTCAGAGCTTTGGAGTCAACCTCTTGCTTGCCTCTTTTCTGCTCAATTTCTTTTGTGCGTCAGAGCAAAAGATGTTGTATTAATCTCCTGTTCCCTTTAGATCCAATATGATGTTTCCAGACAGAAAACCTCAAGTTTTGAGAGCTTAAGTGGGGCTTCAGGCCTTTCACCAGCCTTAAACATATGGATCAAGTGCTTCAGAACTGCAGCTGTAGTCATATTGCATCTATCCTTGCAAGTGTTAACAGAGAAGTTTGCTTCTAACCAGAGATGTTGCTATCACCAACACAAACACATTGCATTAAATACATACAAATGTGAGTCCATGTCAGCATATTTGTGTAGAACCATCTCCAAATGTTATATATTGAGCATTTTTAGTCATTTGACTGCAACATACACTGCCTGAAGACACCTTCAATTAAAGAAGGGCAGACAACTGACACTGTTAGGTTGTACAGTGGAATACCAGGAGAAAATGAAACAGGGTGTGTTACTATGATCCTTATTTCTGAGCTCAGTATGGTTTTAAATTAACGCAACTAAAATCAGCCTTTGCTGCATGTCCTGGTTTTGGCTAGGATAGAGTTAGAGTTAATTTTCCTCCTAGTAGCTGATATGGTGCTGTGCTTTGGATTTCGGATGAGAGTAATATTGATAATATGCTGATGTTTTAATGGTTGCATAACAGTGCTTACACTAAGACAAAGACTTTTCAGCTTCTCATGCTGCCCCACCAGTGAGGAGGCTGGGGGTGCACAAGGAGCTGAGAGGGGAACAGAACCAGGACAGCTGACCCAGTCTGGCCAAAGGGATATTCCATATCCTATGGCAACACACTGAACAATTAATATGGGGTGGCTGGGTGGGATGGGCATCAGTCAGTGGGTGGTAAGCAACTGCAGTGTATGTCACTTGTTTCATACACATTGTTATTATTATTACTATCATCATTATTCTTTCTTTTCTAGCCTATTCATGTCCTGGTGCCTAGAAGACTGGTATGCTGGAACACCCTATGGCCCACGTGTTAACATGAAGTTAGAGTTCCTTGTAGCGGTCAGGTCAGGGTTGCAGTTCTACACTTGTAGATCCTGACTTTGCTTCAAGGAAGCTAATCAACCTTTTAACTATGGTTAAACCAGAGGCAGATGGGTGACCATGCAAGTGACAGAGATATTCAAAATGCCCACAGTAAGCTAGCACAGATTGTTCTTTCTAGGAGATGGTAATCAATGCAAATCTATGCATTAGTTATGAGGTGTTTTAATTCCAATAATAAACATTCTGTGATTGATGAATTTTTCACAGCTGTTGTCTATATAGCTGTTTAATTAGAGCATGCTGGCAGAGGCTGTTAATTCTTCATCAAGTTGCCGACTCCAGTGCATTCCTCTTTCTGCAAGGGAGGATGACAGTTGCCAGAGCGATTTGGGCGGCTGGTCAGGGGACCTGACATTTGGCATAAGATCAGCGTGTTAGATGACAAGCCAAATTCCATCAGCTTCCTAAAAATACTAGCAGAGTGATAAACAGAAAGTGCTTTAATTGCTGGTGCTACTGTCTTCGCTTTTCTGTTACTGATGGGCACTGGATCCAACTACACAGAATGCCTACTCCATGATACTATTATTCCCAGAGAAGGGAAGAGCCAGCCAACCCTAATCTACCAGGAAGGAAACAAGATCAGCTGCCCTGGGGGTGGGAGGCTGCCCAAGGTTCTGGCATTTAAGTATTCAACCTTCTAAATCCACATATTCATCCATCCAAATCTCCCTCACTAGAATATTCCAGGAGGGAAAGGGAATCCCTATCTTAGGTAAGTATCATGTGATACGTGCTCAGCTGGGGGTCTTAGACATGGAGATCCCCAAACAGATACAAAACAGGGGCAGCCAACACTATTCCCACATTGAGGCATCTAAGACCGGACTCAAAGAATTACATCCAGAGGCCAGGAGGATGATTTTAATTCACCTTTGTGCCTGCATCAAAAGCCCCAACAGAAATGTCAGTTGTGGATATAGCTCCTGTGCCACAGGTTTCTCTCCATTTAAAGCTGGGACTTGCAAACTTATTCTACATATGCCACCACATAATTTTTAGATGCAGTCAAGTTCATCCATGTTCACACTGGTCACATACAGATGGATCAACTGGACATCTAGAACACTGACCTAAAGTAGAAGACACCTTTTATGTTCAGAGCAGATAGCTGAAAAGTTTCCTGTCATTAACCTTTGTTTTGCTTTATAGGTGTTGATACAGACTCTAAGCTCTTTACAATAAAAAGATATTTGGATTTGAGTCACAAGACTGGGTCCCTGAAACCAGTCAAAATTCTTGCAACACAAAGTAAATTGGATCTGCAATTTCATTGAAAATGCAGGGAAAAGTTACGTTTCCAGTAGCATGACCTTTGATACCAAAGGGCATGTTCACATTCATCCTTTCATAATTAATCATGTTGAAAAGTTGGAAAAATTGAACTGCATCTGTTTAATACTGAACCATTTCTAGCTTTTAAATGAAGTGTTTAAATATCAATTCACTTCTACATCGTTTTTAATCTCAATTAGAACTGCAAAAAGCATCTAAACTTTTTCCACTTAAATTTGTCACAGATGCTTTCAACAGGAAAATTGATGTTGCTCATTGAGTCATGCCAACATACAGAGAAATACCTCTTCTAAAGAAGACTAGTTTGGCACAAGAGACAAGCGTTAACATCTGAACTATTGAAAATATTTGAAACACCACCAGTTCAGTAAAAACAACTCTGAGAAGTAAATGCACATACAAAAATTAAACAGTTAAAGCAAACCTTCATAAGATAGTAGCAGACTGATGTAATTTTGTCTCAGCCTCCAGAAGACACTCTGCATCCCTCACCAGCCTGATGTTCCAGTATGGAAATTCTACAAAAGCCAGCCTGCTGCATTGAATATTTTTTTCCCTCCTCCATCATCATTTTCCTGATCAGACAATAATCTGCTACTTCCAGAGGCAAGAATCCCTATTCTACTCAGCTGCTAAAGCCTTCCACTCCCCAGCCAAATTGAAGTTACCCTGTACCTTTCTTCACACAAAACAACGCTACTGCCTCATGAACGGATAAATGCTGTGTAAATGGTCATCAAGATGGGCTTTAGATGCCTGCCTGTTGTCCCTCTCTCCCTCCAGACCTGAATCTATAATTAAGACAAAACCTTGCTTTTCATTTTCATTACTTTGAAAAAGTTACAGCAGGTCTTTTAGTTTAGATACTCAGTAACCCAAAAGCAGCTCAAACAACTTTGCTCATTACCTTTCCATTTTTTGATTTGTTTTTAACAGTGTAGAAGACTAAGTTCATGTGATATGAAAAATAACAAAACACCAAAATTCCTGGCAAAACCTGTAAGAATTCATAGTGCCAAGTCTTACATTATAGCATTCAGCAGCTCTGCAGGTTGCTTTGCTTACAGCAATTCAAAATTTGCAAGCAGCAGCATGGAGTTCAACTTATCATTTGTCAATGCCTTCCTGAAAGGCAAAGGATGAGTTCACAGACTTTAGAGTGGGTTTCTGCAACTGAAGCCTCTGGTGAATGCTTTACCGTGCTTCTAACCAGAAAGTTGAAAACAAAGAGGCTTGAGAAAGATGACAGTTTTATGATTGCAAGTCTTCCCCTAGTTTTAGTAAGATTCTTCAAAGTCATTTAGCATTTCATACCTGTACTTGACTTACACCTATACATGAAATCAAAAAGCCTGACCAGTTCTCAACACCTACTCCAGGACAATGTGTTTGCATACTTCATGCTCTTATTTTCTGAATAGATGAGGGGAGTGAAAGAGAAACGGGAGAGAAAAGCCATCTTTGTTGCTTGTTGTAAAGAGAGGAGGAAAAAAAAAGAAAAAACAGAAAAGCAAAATTAAGGGGATCATTTATTTGCTAGTAACTGACCCATCACACTCAAAATTTCCTTGGTCACCAGGTATCTGTTACAATATAAACTGTAACAAGGGAAACCAGTAAGGGCACTGCTGTACATACCTCACAGTTTTTCCATTAAAATCTCAGACTACTTGGAGCTCATTCGCGTGATTACCACATTGTCCTACATACCATTTAATATGCACCACGGCCTTCATATCACAGTTGTGCGGCATTCCTCTGCATTCTTATGTAAGCCAGATTACATGCATTGCCTGGTTTTCTAAAGAGTTAGGCAGCAAACCATATTTAAATGGACTCTTTATATACAAGAAATCACCACTTAAATTCAAAAGATCACAACACTTCATACTATCTCTGCCATTTTTCACCTCCTCCATGCAGACTGTAGGAAAA